CTATATTCTATTTTATTCTATTCTATTCTTTCTATATTCTATTATTTCTATATTCTATTCTATCCTATATTCTATTCTATTCCTATATTCTATTTTATTCTATTCTATTCTTTCTATATTCTATTATTTCTATATTCTATTCTATCCTATATTCTATTCTATTCCTATATTCTATTTTATTCTATTCTATTCTTTCTATATTCTATTATTTCTATATTCTATTCTATCCTATATTCTATTCTATTCCTATATTCTATTTTATTCTATTCTATTCTTTCCATATTCTATCCTATTTTATCCTAACCTATATTCTATTCTATTCCTATATTCTTTTTTATTCTTTTTTATTCTATTCTATTCTTTCCATATTCTATCCTATCCTATATTCTACTCTATTCCTATATTCTATTTTATTCTATTTAATTCTATTCTATTCTTTCCATATTCTATTCTATCCTATCCTATATTCTATTCTATTCCTATATTCTATTCTATTCCTATATTCTATTTTATTCTATTCTATTCTTTCCATATTCTATCCTATTTTATCCTAACCTATATTCTATTCTATTCCTATATTCTTTTTTATTCTTTTTTATTCTATTCTATTCTTTCCATATTCTATCCTATCCTATATTCTACTCTATTCCTATATTCTATTTTATTCTATTTAATTCTATTCTATTCTTTCCATATTCTATTCTATCCTATCCTATATTCTATTCTATTCCTATATTCTATTCTATTCCTATATTCTATTTTATTCTATTTTATTCTATTCTATTCTTTCCATATTCTATCGTATTCTATCCTACCCTATTCTACTCTATCCTAAGTAGGAAATTTAAAAAGTCAGTTTTGGCCCATTTTACGACTTTTCCCGCCCCATTTGTTAAGCGAACCACTGCAATGGCAAAGTTAGCAACATGGCCATTAAGTGGGATCTGGCTTCTCTTACTAACTTTGCTTGTCAGACGGTTGCAAAACGAGAACCCTTCACTCCGGGATATTGGAACCGCCATAAACGTGAGTCCATTGTCAAGCCTCCAAATGTAAATCACGGGGATGCTGCAATGGTCGTAAGTTTTTTTTCCCCAGAGCCCGCTGTAACTTTGAACGGTTGCTAAATGGAACCGTTGTACGTCAAGGACGATCGGTAACTCAAACTATAGCTGGAAGTTTACGGCAGCATTCTCTAAAGTTGGCCATTTTAAGATGGGTGGACTTCAACTCCCAGAATTCCCTTGTTCATTTTTCCGGAAAACATTTATGGACAATGGGCTCACTTAATCGTAATAGCCGTGATTTGTTTTAACAAGCACTGCCAAAAAAATTTGTTATTAAATCATCTCGGTCACGCGATGACACATTTAATGACCGGCATGACTTACGACGATAATTCTGGCCTCCATTATGGTCCTAAGACTACCTTCCCCCTCCTCCCGGCCCCATTTTGCCTCTTATTTAATTTCAGTTATTTTTCAAGGAAGGACACCCAAGGGCATGTAATATTACCCGTCTTAATGAAAAGGAATGAAAATTAACATAATGATATTAATTAAGCAAGCCAAAAGAACAACAACAACTTAACACAGCACAGAAAAATTAGCAAATTTTAAAAAGGCAACAAGCAGTTAAGTGCTTCTCCGAGTTTAAGAATAAGGGCAGGAGATGATGGGGGGTTTGCAATCCAGGTCTGATGAAGCATTTCTCAAATCTCCCGGAATTTATGGCGTGTAAACAACCCATGTTTCAAGCATGGATTAATTTTGGAATTGCTGCATTTGAAAGCCTGACTTATTCCTGTGGCTTGTGGAACAGTTTCAGGATTGGACAAACCAAAATAACAAGAGTTGGAAGGGACCTTGGAGGTCTTCTAGTCCAACCCCCTGCTCAGGCCGGAGACCTTATATCACGTGGGAAAAAATAGTCCAATCTCTTCTACAAACCTTCCAGGGATGGAGAGCCCATGATTTTTGGTGGCAAGCCGTTCCACGGGTTAATTGTCCTCCCTGTTAGGAAGCTATCTATCTATCTATCTATCTATCTATCTATCTATCTATCTATCTATCTATCTATCTATCTATCTCTATCAATCTATCTCTATCTATCTATCTATCTCTCTCTCTCTATCTATCATCTATCTCTATCTACCTATCTATCAATATCTATCTATCTATCTATCTATCTATCTATCTATCTATCTATCTCTATCTATCTATCTCTATCTATCTATCTCTATCTCTATCTATATCTATCTATCTATCTATCTCTATCTCTATCTCTATCTA